AATGCTGAAATATTTAAAGACGGGAAAAATAAATCAGTCTGAAGGTGCAATTGAGAATGAAATAAAGATGTGAGAAATGGTTTGGCCCGGGGAGAAGATTCTCAGAGCACATCCGTTCACTGTGAGTATAATAATGCTCTGATAGATACATCTGATGAAGTGTCTACAAAAGATCAGCAAGATTCTGTTGACGTTAATACTGTTACGTCTCCGTTTGTTAATTGATTTTCCGTAAATTCGTTCCGACGAAACTTTAGCGACACAAGTCCTCTCTTAAATAAAACTGGTTTATTCTTTCCGAATACAACATTACGATACCATTGATTTCAACATTCGCGCTATAACAAACACTATAACGAACGAAATTAACTTCAACAATACGTCTCTCTCTGACTGCAGTTCAATTACTCATTACCTACACACATTGTTGCGTCACGTTGTCACCCTCCTATATATCAGTCTACCCTATATCTAGTAATCTCCCGAAGGTTCAAGAGAAGTGACGTGACCTCGCTGACGCAACAATACATTAAAATCCGATTATTTTAACGAAACATAAAAATCTATTAGTTACGATCACTGTAAATGGAATTTCCCAATACAGGATATAGACAGAGTAAATTATGTTCTCAAAAGACCGATTCGAGAAGAAAATGTGACTTTCCCAGTGGATGATAAAAACAGGCGTTTCTCCTCATTCCATTACATTAGAATTCTAAGCAACAAGGAAAAACAAGAACAGCGTTGGTTGGCTTACTCTCCAAGCAAAAACAGTGTTTATTGTTTTGCCAGTCGTCTGTTCTTAATCTCAAGTGTAGTGTTAATATATCATGGCTGTAATGATTGGAAGAACCTCAGTAGTCGTCTCATGAGAACAGTTCAGATCACATAGAGTGTGTCTTGAGATGTTGGAATCAGAAAAGAGGCTGAAATGCGGGAAGACTATTGATACAGTTAAAAATCTACTACACCAATTTTGGTTTTCTCTACAATATTTCATCTTTAAAGAACCAGTACGATGAAGAACTTTTACAGTGTTGTAAAGAACTACAAGCACTATTTACACCGTCTGAGTTGTTCGACTCCGATATATATGGCGAAGAATTATTTGAGGAATAAAGAATGTGCACCAGGACTGTACCTCCAAATATAGGCATTCATGATTCACTAAAATATATTACAGATAATAATTTTATTGAAGTTTATCCTAATGTTTATGTAGCATTAAGAATTATATTAACAATTCCAGTTACAATTGCTTCAGCAGAAATATCTTTTTCAAAATTGAAATTAATGAAAACTTACATAAGATCTACTACGTGTCAAGAGACGTTATCGGCATTGGCTATTCTGTCTATTGAACATAATTTGGCTTCAAAATTGGATTATTCCTCTGTGAAAGA